AATTTTTTTATTTTTACTAGAGACAGGGTTTCACCATGTTGGCCAGGCTGGTCTCAAACTCCTGACCTCAAGTGATTCGCTCGCCTCAGCCTCCCAAAGTGCTAAGATTACAGATATGAGCCACCATGCCTGGCCCAAAGGTATTTAAATAGTCGATATTCAATATTCTGCTTTACCAGAATATTCACTTCTAAGACTGATAAGGTCACCAGTCTTATTAAAAGAATGGGGAAAAAACCCTTATCTGCCCAAGATCTAGAAAGCCCCTCCAACCTAGAGAAAAGAACAAGACAGACAAAACTTAGGGAGAAACAGAAGGTAGCTATGGGGATGAGGAGCTGGGTGCAGACGTTCCTTCCAAATGAGCAGGTACTGAGAGGGTAAGTACTTACCATGCCAAAATGAACTACCCACAACCACCAACAGCACTGTGAACCTCTCTCCCGGAGATGAAAGACAACAGTATTGCTCAAATGTTTTTGAACACACAGATGTCTTTCCTGTACCTCCGCATTCCATTTTGAATAACATTCCAAAGCTAACATTCTAAAGCTAATTCTAAAGCTAAGATTCTAAAGCTAACATTCCAACAAATACCAGACTGAAAAACCCTGAAACAAAGACATAATCTGGGACTTCATCCTTTCCTCAGGGGAAAACAGTTATGTGTTCCTGCTAGGCAAAACAACGCATGTTTCAGAAGTGACAGAGAAGGACTGAAACCTATTAGGCTTTAGGTAAGCCACTTTCATGAGTTTCTGGAAGCCTAGACACAATGCTGTCAGAGCCTAGAACTTCATTCCTTTCTGATTAAACTCTAGCAATTTCCAGAACAAAGTTAAGGCTGACTTGCGAAATTCAGAAAGAAATGAGCTCATCTTTAGCTCTATGACTGGAATACAGTAGGCATGAAAGAGGTATCCGTTAAATCAATGAGGGACTAATAAGACAATTTGCCTCCAACAATTGACTTTCACCTGCAAAGAATAAAATCAAAATATCTAAAAGGTGTTGTTTAGCAACAACTATTAGATAAAATCTGTATTTTACATTTCAAGAATCCCAGACTTTGTAAGGTCAGGTACAACAGTTTTATAAATATTTTTAAAGGTCTGATCTCACTAATATGGAATAAGTACCACTAATCTGTAAATTAGGGAAAAGACTATAACTGAGATCTGTGTGTAGACGAAATTAGATTAAGCACCTAGAACGAGTAAGGAGTCCATTGCCCTTAGGAGTCATTACTGAATATAAGGTAGTTTCTTTCACCATAACTGAACATTTTAACAAACACAAAATAAAGGAAGTGCCAAATAAAACAGATACAGGCCCTCAAAATCACGTTATAATTTTGGTTAAAAGATTCACATCTGTAGTAGAGCTTCTCAAGTTATTATTTTTAAATGACCACTAAGAGTCTTGCAAAATAGAGAAAAATATTTTAGGTTACCTGAGCAAGAAGAATATTTATAACTTCTTCATTTTCATTCATCTCTTCTTTGGAAACATCCTCTTTTGAAAGACTGGCTATCTCTTGTGCAATCTTGGTTTCACACTCCTGTCAAGTAAGACAAATAAAAAAGAACTGGTCAGCCTATATGCAACACATATTCAACAAATTCACACCACCACAAATCTAGACGATTCCTTCTCATTTCCTAGAACTGAAACAATAACAGTCAGGTGAACCATCTAGATGGATGGGCATTTGGTAACTGGGCTTGGAATATAACATGGAGATATCTTAGTCTGTGGCTGCACTGTGAAAATGTTCAATTCTGGTTAATGTACTTGCCATTTTTGGTACCCTTCCACAGAAACTACCTATTGTGATACTTAGGAAGGGTGTAGTCAGGAGTGTAAATCTTGAGCACAGCATTTAGTGTTCACAAACATAAAGTCAAGTAACCACCACCACCACCACCATCATGCTCTAGAACATTTCCATCGCCACACAAAGTGCCCTTGCACTCCTCCCCCATCTACTGACATCGTAGCAACTACTGTCCTGCTCTCCATTGCTGTCGTTTTTCCTTTCCCTGAGTTTCATAACTGAATCAATCAGTAAGTAGTGTGATTATCTGGCTTCTTTCACTTAGCACAATGCTTTTAAGATTCATCTATTTGGTTGTCTGTATCAGTATCAGTAGTTGCTGAGCAATATTCCCTGCAATCAATGTACCCCAATTTATTTATCCATTCACCAACTGATGGACATTGGAGTTCCTTCTAGTTGTAAACTATTATAACTAGAGCTGTTAGGAATATTTCGCACATACTTTGTGAGGTCAAATGTTTCTCTTAGATAAATACCTAGGAGTGGGAAGGATGGGTGCTATGGTAAGTAACCATATGTTTAACTTTATAAGAAACTGCCAACTGTTTTTCCAAAATGGCTGCACCATTTTGCATCACCAAGAGCAGCCTATTCCAGCTGATGTATACTGTTACCTCAGAGTGCTTTTAATATTTATTTCCTTACTGACTAATGATCATAAGAGTCTTTGCATGTGCTTCTTTGCCATCTATATATAATCTCTGGTAAAGTATTTGTTCAAATTTTTGCCTTTTAAAAATTGGTTTTCTTATTAAACAGTAAACTTCAAAAAAAAAAATTCAAGTCCTTTATCAGATACAAGCTTTTGCAAATATTTTGTCACAACTTCTGGCTTAGATATTTATTTTCTTAATATCTTTTAAAGAGCATATTTTTAAATTTTTGATAAAATTCAATTTATCAAATTTTTCTTTTATAGTTTATAGATTTTTTGTCCTATTTAGGAAATTACTAAGCCAAGATCAATAAGATATCTTCCTGTTTTTTCCTCTGGAAGCTCAAGTTATTTTTTGCATATGTTATATGGACAGAGTCAAGATTTTTTTTTCTTTGCATGTGTTCCAGTGCTATTTTGTTGAAAAGCAAACAAAAAATCTCTTCCCCACTGATTTTAGCATCTTCATTAAAAAGTAATTACCTATATATGTGTAGGTCGACTCCTACACTTTCTATTCTGTATGTGTATCTGTATCCAATACCTACGGTCTTCATTCCTGCAGCTTTTTAGTAAGTCTTGAAATCGGGCAGTATGAGACCTCCAAACTTCTGGCTATGTTCTTCTTCAAAACTGTTGACCTCACACCTGTAATCCCAGCAGTTTGGGAGGCCAAGGCGGGCAGATCACCTCAGGTCAGGAGTTCGAGACCAGCCTGACCAACATGGAGAAACCCTGTCTCTACTAAAATTACAAAATTAGCCGGCCGTGGTGGCGCATGCCTGTAATCCCAACTACTCAGAGGCTGAGGCAGGAGAATTGCTTGAACCCAAGAGGCGGAGGTTGTGGTGAGCTGAGATCACACCACTGCACTCCAGCCTGGGCAATAATAGTGAAACTCCGTCTCGAAAAACAAAAACAAAAACAAAAAAACCTATTAGGTGTTTTTTGGTCATCTGTATTTCCACATAAACTTTAGAAGAGCTTATTCATTTTCACAATACCATCTGTTTGGATTTTTACTGTGATTGGACCCACAGATCAATTTGGGAAAACCTAACATCTTAACAATATTGATTCTTCTGTTCCACATGCAAGATTTTTCTCTCCATTTACTTAGGTCTCCTTTTAATTTTTTTTTAGGTTCAATATCCAATTGTGCATTGCTAATATATAGAAACACATAAGACATTTGTAGATCTGGTCTCGTATCCTACAAACTTGGTAAACTCACTGATTCGTTCTTTTGTTGTAGATTCTTTAGGATTTTATATATACATAATCATGTTATCCAAGAATAAAAACTTCTCTCCAAGATGTGTGCTTTTTTTCTTGCTTTATTGCACTGGCTAGAATGTCTAGTACAATGCTGAATAGAGGGTAACAGCAGAAATCCCTGTAGTGTTCACCAATCTTAAGGTAAGCAGTTTCACTATCAGGTATGATAATTGTAGATTCTTTGTGGATGTTCTTTATCAGGCTGAGAAAGTTATTTGCTGAGAGTTTTATCATGACTAAGCATTGAATTCTACCAAATCTTTTTCTGCACCTACTAATATGATATGGGTTTTTCTTCTTTTTAGTCTGTTAATGTGGTAAATTATATTACCTCTGTCTTTAAAAGTGATTTATTCCTCAAAGTTGAAATTTGGGAAAATCTAACATCTTAACAATATTGAATCTTCTGTTCCACATGCATGATTTATCTCTCCATTTATTTAGGTCGCTTTTTTATTTAGTTTCAATAACCAACTGTGCATTGCAATATATAAAAATACATTAGACTTTTGTAGAATCTTTTGAGTGTTTTGTGAATTAATGAGCTGGTGTGAAAACACAGCAGCAAGAAAATTGGTAAAGCAAAGTTAATCCATCCCTTTTCATATTGGCTCTGGCTGCTTTATCATGATTCCTTTATCCAAGCAAGATATAGAAGCAAAAGAAACAAAAGCGAAACCTCCATCAGCCCTGTCTTAGGTCAATCAGGGCACTCTTCATTTAAAGGCGGACTGGCAATGCCCATATGATTAACAATTACAGTTTGCTCATGAAGCCTGAGTGGTCTGTCTCTAATATATGATTCTAGGCTGAGATATGAAGGAAAAAATTTTAACAGCAGCAACAACAACAACAACAACAAAAACAGGTAAAAAGCAAGAGATAAATAACCTAGTGAGCAAAAGAAAAGAAGAAAGAAAAATATACAGAGGGCTTCTGCTAGATTACCTTTCCTGGAATGCACATGTAAGAGTCCCATGAATGCACTTGTTTGACAAAGCTATCCTTCACATGAATACAAATCTCTGACCTCAAAGAAACAGAAGTACTCAGGTTGCCTTTGTCTTTTTAACACAACCACAACAGACTTATTATCATGTTCCCCAATTCTGACAAGTGCTAACTAATGTTCCTTGGCTGTGCTGTTTAGATGCTGCAGTTGATCTGCAATGTGGATTTTAAGGTGATCCAGAGATCTGGGATTTTATTGTTGGTGTGGCTGGTACACTCACAGTTCCAGAACCAAGCAACAACACTAAACAAGAGGGAACTCAAAAGTCTGACTGGCATGCCCTAAACTCATCAGGTATTGCATATCACTCATTATTATTATATAAATAGAATCTCCCCTGATCTTCAGGGCCTTCCAGGCGACCCTCATCACTAGATTTCCAAAGGGCTAATTCTAAATGCCTCAGATTCCCTAGCAGTCCCTGAAGGTGTCTCACCATCCAGTCTGCTTCTTATCTGTAGAAAGCCCTGTTTACAGGTATAACCAAGCAGGAAATGACAAATTTTTTAGTAAAATCATTTTTAATTAAAACAAAACTTTCTAGGCCAGGCATGGTGGCTTATGCCTATAATCCCAGCACTTTGGGAAGTGGGAGGACTGCTTGAGTCCAGAAGTTTGAGACCGGCCTGGACAACATTTCTACAAACAATAAAAAGTTAACCGAGCATGGTGGCACACACTGGTAGTCCCAGCTACTCTGGAGGCTGAGGTGGGAGGATCCCTTGAGCCCAGGAGATTGAGGCTACAGTGAGCCATGATCATGCCACTGCACTCCAGCCTGGGTGACAGAGTGAGAAATCCTATCCCAAAAAAATAAAACAAGAAAACTTTCTAGATTTCATTAAAATATGTGACTGACACCAGGCTGCAATATCAATAATACAGGACTAGAAACATTTTAGTGAATAAATTTCCCATCAGAGTAGTTCACTTCAAGTGACATTATATATTATATTCTTAAAAGGAAGAACTTGGGCTGGGCGTGGTGTCTCGTATCTATAATCCCAGCACTTTGGGAAGCCGAGATGGGAGGATTACTTGAGGCCAAGAGTTTGAGACAAGCCTGGTCAATATCAAAAGAAAAAAAATAAATAAAAGCAAGAGTAAGGCTGGGCGCGGTGGCTCAAGCCTGTAATCCCAGCACTTTGGGAGGCCGAGGCGGGTGGATCACGAGGTCAAGAGATCGAGACCATCCTGGTCAA